TGGTTGGTTAAAAATTTCTAATTAGATGCCAACATTAAAAAACCCAGGCTGCACRTGATCATCATGATTTCAGCTTTCCCCAAAGCCCGGAAGCACTGCAGGCCGCCTAGGCCGGTGTGTCCACAGCACAAAGAGCAAGCCGGAGCTCAGCCGTCACTGCCCGAGCCCAGCCCCTGCCCCCGGAGGCCAGGACCCTCTCTCCTGGGCACCACAGCAGCTACCCATCCTGCCCCAGTCCGTGAGGTCACTGGGCTGGCATCAAGTTCATTGGCTCCCTCTCCCTCCCTCCCTCACCCTCTGCACCCCCTTCTTTTGTCAAATGGCTCCTGGTGACCCCCATTCAACAGGACACATGGCTCAAGTCCCTCTGTCTCTGTGCACACAGTCCCCTCTGCCTGCGATGTCCTTGCTCCTGGGTGTACCCAGCTCAGGCCAACCTCATGCCTTCCCAGCTCCTGGGCTGGGTTAGGCGTGTCCACCGGGTCTACCTGCTGGGTGCCATTTGGCAGGGCCTGGGTCACACCCCCCACCCAACACTCCATGTGGGTGACTAGATGAATGGCACTTTGTCCCTATTTCACAGAGGATGAAACAGAGGGTTAGGGGAGTGACTGGTTCACTGCCTCTCTAAGACCAGCGGCCAATGATGCGGGAGGAAGGACCCTTGTCCTTTCTGGGTCTTCAGATGCTGTTATGGGTTGATTATGTCCCCTCARAAGATATATGGAAGCTTAACCCCAGTACCTTTGAGTGTGACTATTTGGAAACAGTCTCTGCAGAAGTTGTCAAGATAAGGTCATAAGGGTGGGCCCTCAGCCAATAAGATCATTGTCCCTAAGAAGACAGACACATGCAGGGAGAGCAGCATGTGGCCCTGGAGGCAGACACTGGAGCAAAAGGTCCTCAGGCCAAGGAGCCAAGGATCGCAGGCAACACCACGATGCTAGACAGAGGTGGGGGACGGATTCTCTCCCAGGGCCTTCACAGGGACGATGGCCCAGGGGACATCTTGATTGTGGACTTCTGGCCTCCAGTTAAGTCACCTATTTTTCTGCAGCTGCCCTAGGAAACCCCAGGCAGCTGGTGCGTGGAGGGCCCCGGGCCGCCCAGTTCTTGGACTGCTCTACAAGGTGGGACTGCAGGGCAGGATRTCCTGAGATGGTGGCAGGGTCACCCTGGCTTCCCACTTCCTCTCAGTCTGGACGAGGGGAACAATAAAAGAACCTACCCCAACCTCAGCTCCCTCCTGAGGCAGGTGTGGGGGAGGGAGGAAGAGCAATTGCTCGATTTTGGAGCAATTTCACAGGTTCTATTATTCTGGGCCTAAATAATTTAAGTTGCTGAGTCAATATTGTGTTTGGTGGCTTTCAGTGACCACATGACCTTTTATGGGAGAGCCAAGGACCTGTTCTACCTGGGGAGGGAGTGGGGGAGCCCTACTGAATAGGTTTACACTCCAGATCTCAGTCTTGACCAAACTGGGGAAGTATCGACACTCAACCCCCAAGACTCACCTAGATTGCCATGGAGCATYGGGGTGGGGCCTGGGATAGGGTCGGGGACCCCTGAAAGTCTCCAGGTGATTCTAATTGCAGCAATGTTTGAGAGCTACTGGGTTGAGACTAGTCACCAGAGGGGACTAAGTTTGAGCACTCTGCCACAGGCCTGCTCATTCTACCCCAAGGACATGCTCCTTGTCCCTGGGGTGTTTCAGGGGTGGCAGGAAAAGCAGCTGAGTGTCTCCAGGCTTGGGATGTGGTCCCTCAGGACCTGCAGGCTCTTCCTCAGCCCTGACACAGCCCCATGTCAGGAGGGCACTAGGCAGAAGGATTTGGAGGTAACTGATGTCCACCCAAGACATCTAAAAAGAAGTCTTTCGAAGGCTCAGCTTGGACAGRGACTCCTCCTCAAGAAGTTTATGTGCTCTGGGTTTTCCTAAAGCACAAACAGGAATCGTATTTAATAAATATGCAAGGAGAGGAAGCTTGGGCTTGGGGTCACAAGGATATGGTTTCATCCACTTGGTCAGTAATGGGGACAGCATGCAGTCCTGAACCTGCCCAGTCCTCCAGCTTCCGGCTGCCATGGGACAGAGGTTTTCCCAGGGCACTATCCCAGGACATGGCACGCCCCTGTCCACAACCCACAATGGCTCCCACCRCAGACTGATGAGAGTCAACTCTTCATCCCCCCAGTCAGCACCTCTGACTTGCCCTGGCCCCTRTCTCCCAGCCCACTGTATCCCCTCTCCCCTCTCTCTCTGAAGGACTCTGAATATCTCCTGGGCTCCCCTCTCCTCAATTCTCCTCCGGGATGCCTTTACTCCCAGGTCCAAATCTGCCCAGAGATCTAATCCTTCTAAGATCTCTTCTCCAAGTCCTGAAGATGTCAGGTGCTCACATTTGACATCTCTCATTCACCATCTTTTCCCGTCTCTCTTCACGTTCTCATCCAATCACCTCAGAAATACTTGCTGAGGGCCTACTACGTGTCAGCCACACTGCTCAGCCTAGCACTCGACCCATTCCCTTGGCTAGGTCTTGGCCTGACCCATCATTTGCCCGATAGTCCATAAGCACCCAGAAAGGAAATCCACATGCCATTCAACTCTGTCCCCCGCACCCCTGTCCCGGTGCCTGGCATGGAGCTTCTTTCACTGAAGAAAGTGAAAGAAACACTGGTGTCTCCCTGTGGGCTGCCCATGTCGTAGGGCAGGCTGTGCGGGGACGGACACAGTCACACCCAGTGGCCACTGTACACACTAGGGCAGGTAGGGACACCCACTCCAGCCAAGCCCAAGTGCCGCACATAAAGCAGAAACAGCTCCCATCCCGAGGGAGACCATGCCAGGAAGCAGTCCTGGAGCTCAGCCCCACAAGGGCTCTGAGAAAAGCACCGCAGGAGACCACCTCCTGGGGAGAAGAGACCAGCCATCTTGCAGTGTCTGTCTGTTCCCTTCATTGAGCCTTTCTCTGGGTGAAGCAGTAAGGTGGAACACCCAGCAGCCTTGCAGATTCTCGGGCCTACACTGGAAGCTCCGTTCTCTTCCTTATAACAATGTGTCCTTGGGTAAATTATTTAATCTCATCATAAACTTATAAATAAAGTTTGGTATCCTGATCTGCAAAAACAGGGCCTACATCCCAAACTTGTCAGGGTTTATTGTAATACTACGTGCCAAATGCCTGGCATCAGGCACACAGTAGGTGCTCAGCAAACCTTTTAACACGCCTTCTATTGGTATGAAAATGTATGTTCCTAGTCCTTGCAGCTAGCAGAGAACGGAGTTAGTAATCAACGTGAAACATATCAGCAGAAATAAATTGACCAAGTGAAATGGGAATTACACACACACACACACACACACACACACAAACACACAAGAAAACCTAAAAAAGGAAAAAAACCCAACCTCTATAGGTTCTGCCCATAGGTGCTGAAAAGCCTATGTTTATTTTGTCAAGTCACCATAGCAACTGTTGATGCTCCAGCCAGCCCTGGGTTAGCAATGATCAATTTATCTTGTAACCATGGAAACGCCAAGATTCCCAGGGATCCAGAGGGGAAGGCAGCCACAGACTGTGAGCTCCTCTCCCTCCTCGAAATAAATCCTGGAAAACCCCCTCCGGCAGCTAAAACCACCTCTATCTACAACAGTGATGACTGTTTGCTAGATGGCAATATCTACAAGCACGGATTTAGGAACAGGAAATAGAAAATCAGGCAAAAAAGGGCCAGCAATGCCCATAAGAGCAATTAGCATCACGGAAAACTTGTTAAGAGGCTGGTAAAAGCTGGGCTCTGGATTCCCCGGAGCCAACCTGTGGACTGTGTCCTCTGAATGCCTTGGATTGGGGATCACCCTCCACAATCTGGATTTTGCTGTGATATTTTAAGCAGACTTTCAGCACAGGTGAAGTTTGGGAAAAACAAAGTGTGCCCTCAAACTTCCACCTGGTGAAAAAAAGCATCAGCAGGCAARGTCCCTGCTACACAGCCAAGAGACTGAGGGGAGCCTGGGTGTCCTACCTGCCCTGCTCTCAACGCTGCCAGCCAGCACAATCCTGGAAGATGCAAGGTCTGAGGGCTGGACTGGRGTTCATTTTCCCCAGACAAATGGGGCCCTGCCCTGGAAGCAGACCAGTCAGCACGGTGGTGAAGCAGTAAGGTGGAAGTTTATGTGCTTCCCCAGGGCCACACGCAGCTACAGAATCAGGGGTTTCTCTTTGTTCTGGCTCAAGAGAGTTAAGGCACAGAAATATAATGAGCACCCAGGCTCAGAACTCAAAGGGCTCTCCAGGAGCCCAGATCAGCCGGCGCGGGAACAGGTCATTAGTCTTCCCTGCCACGAGGAGCCTGTTTGTGTGGAGGGAAGAGTTATGATCGCGCTCCGCACTGAGGGCTAATCAGACTCACAAAGCAAAAATGGGTAAACTGGCCCCTGGGCTTCGAAGCTTGCCAGGTCACAAAAGTCTCACTGCCTTCCTCCGGGCGGCAAGGGCTATGGTCCCCGCTCACAGTGGAGAAAGAAGGCGCCCGAGGTCACCTGCAAGTGGCAGATTACCCAGCTGCGCCTCGCAAAAAACAGAGCTGGTAAGTGCGCGGTTGTCCASCCACCCGCTTCCCGCGGGTCTGAGCTTCGCCATCCCCTGCAGGCCCGGGTGGGGGCTGGGCAGGGAGGGGGCGACTCGGCTGCTCAGGTTCTTAGAAGCTTTCTGGCCTCCCCTAGGGGCCGGAGTGGGAAGAGCCCCACCCAGGGGGCGCAAGGTGCACCGCCCACCCCATACCGGGAAAGCCCCGCTTGAGCCCCCTGGCGCAAGCACCAGGTGGTGCTGCCCGGCTCGCCTCGGGACAAAGGACCAGGACGTGGATCCTACACGGGCGCCACCGCCCCGCCCGACCGCTCCGCTGAGCTCAGCTCCGGCGAGGAGGGGGAGGCTGTGGCTCTGCACCTCCTCAAACCTGGCGACCCAGAGCGYATGGGGAAGGTGCCCCGTTACCTGTGCGGCCATAAAAGACAGATCCATGGTGTCACTGCTCCTGCTGCCGTAGCTGATACTGCCACCTGCGCTGGAGTGTTCGCTGTCGCCGCTGCTGCTGAAGATCCAGCCGCCTGCACAGCGGGCCGGGAGCGGGCGGAGCAGAGAGCAGACGCCCCCAGATCCCCGTGGCGGCGGCGGCGCGCCCCTCACCAGTCCCGGCGTGGCGGCGCGTCGCGACCAGCCCTGCGCCCTCAGCTGGCTCCGGGTTCCCTCGCTCCAGATGGCAAGGGGGCGGGGCCCCTAGAGCTGGCAGGGGGCGGGGCGAGGCAGGGGGCGGGGCGGGGCGGGACTCCGATCAGGCACCCAGCACGTGACCACTCCCAGCCCCACCCTCTGGGGCAGGGCCTGGAGGACCCTGGAGCGCTCGCAGTCAAACCGGCTGCGAGGGCCGGTTTGGAGAAACCGAGGCCTGAGTTGAGGCCACTCATTAGTGCAAAGACCAGCGACCAACCCAAACCCAACGCTGTTGGCCCCCGGTCCCGTGCAATTGACCCCAGCCCTCCAGGGATCCTGGATGTGCTTTCTGAAGACTGGTGCACTAATCCCAAACCTGAGGACCTGGATCACGCCCAGCAGAATTAGGGTGACCRGGCTTTGTGTGCCAATCCTGTATACCCAGACTCCCGTGTGAGCCTAGGCGCAGGCAGAACAAAGTTTTACATCGAGCTTTCCTCTGTTATACGGGGAAAGTTAGGGTCTCTTTGAGCCTGGATTTCCGATGAGAGGTACGCAGCTCCACGGGGTGAGCTCCAATATGGCCCGTGTCACATAAGGCAGGCGGCTGTGACTGGATCACACAGTGCACAACTTGCACCACCGGCACTAAGCCCTTCCCAAGCTCAGACAAGTCTCCCAAACCATGCARATGTGGCTGAAATGAGGGGAGGGTGGAGATGCTGGCTCATCACATGTGCCCACATCCCAGACTCGGTGGTGGGTAGAAGATTTGTCCTTTTCCAAGGGCTCACTAGGAGGGAACCAGTCAGTGAGTATCACCTGGTTCCTTATTGGAGCCACCTATAAGCAGGGCAACCAAGGGACTCTCAGACATTGTCAAGGGCACTGTAACTCAAGAGAGATTCCCCCTACCCCGGGTTCCTCAGGCAGGAGGCCAGCAGGGACCCTAGAGGTGGGACCAGGTTCTTACTGATGGCTGGCTTTCAAGAAGGATAACCTCTGCAGACAGTTTCTTCCCTCTCCTGCCTTTCCCTCTGTTCTTTCTCCTCCTCTCCCTCCCCTTCTTTCTTTCTCTCTTTGCCTCTTCCTCTTTCCTCTCTCTTCCCACCGCACTCCTTTCACATTGTGCTGGACTCTTCCTTACTTTGGGGCTCTCTGCAACTTCCAGCCAGGCTCCTCCTCCCTTCCCTAGCCTCCCCAATTTTGTGCCTCCCTCTCAGCCAGGCATAACCAGTCACTTTGCCAGTCTCACCCAGTGCCCACACGGTCCATGCCAGCAGCCACCCKCTGGACGGTCAGATCCTCCCTGGAGTGACAGCTGAGCTGCATGATCAGGACCTTCCCTGCTGGCTGTCAACAAGTTATGTACTTCAGTTGTGAAGTCTCATAAATAAAAAGGCCATGCGTGCTGCAGCTGTACAGCTTAAAAAATAATAACGCCCCTCACAGTTTAGTGAGCGGAAGGGCCAGCAGTAGCCTTTAAACCCTGGTATCTTCCCAAATGTGTTTCTTGCCTGCCCCATCCTCAAGGGTCTTCTCTGTCCTAAATTTTCACCTTAATCATCCTCTTGATTTTCTTTATAGTTTACCTGCTTTAAAACTTTATAAAAAAATGAAGATGCCCTTGGATGGATCCTTGCCTGATCCYGGCCCCCTTTTCAATCCCCAGTGTTTGTGTGGCTGATGGTCTGTATCAGTTTATCACTGGCCCTTTGATCAGTATTTACCTCATCTTCAGATTTTCTGCTAGAGCAAGCCATAGTTCTGTGACCTCTTGAACTTGCATCTGGATGCACTCAGAGAATATGCTGGAAATGAAACTGTGGAGACATGTGTTCAGSTCATCTGCCTGTTTGCTAAATGATGTTCATTATTTCCAGTTTCTGATTTCCAAGAAATTACCTATTTTACTGTCCTAACTGTAGCACGTGTGGGTCCTCATTGCTGCACGTTTTCACCAACAATTTGCATTCTTGGATCTTTAATTTCTGCCAATGTGCTAAGTTGAAGTAGTGTTTCATGTGGATTAAATCCTCATTGCTCTGATTACCAATGGCATTAATCATCTTTTGYACATCTATTACCCAGCCTCACTTCCTCTCATAAGAAATGCCTTTCATAAGGTCTCTTGTGTACTTTTTAATAATTCTGTTGTTGAGTTTTTCTGATTGACTCTTAAAAGTATCTATGTATTTTAGATACTAATCTTGCTGGCTATTGGTGTGATAAATAGCTTCTTTCAATGTTTGCATTTAGTTTCATTCCTTTGTTGCTTATTTTGATGGACAAGTTTTTAGTTTTTGTTTAGTCAAAATTCATTACAGTTAGCCTTGATTTAAGTAATCTTTTCAGGGCATAGTTGTGCCTGCCTCTAGTCCCAGCACCCGGAGGCTGACCTGGGAGGTTTGCTGGAGTCCAGGGGTTCCAGACCAGCCTAGAAGATGTAGAGAGACCCCATATCAAAAATAACCTTTTCCCAACTTGAAACCATAGAGATGCTATCCCASAGCTTTGTAGAAAAAAATAAAATATTTCTTTCTTTACAAGTTTCAGCTATTTTACAACTCGGCATTGGGTGAGGAAGCAATTCCAGTTTCCCCCTATTAATAATCAATTTCCAGTGCCTTGGTGGACAGCACTGGCCCTACCAGCGGTGTTTGTGAGGAGTCCTTTTAGGACGGGTCTGGTTCTGCTGTTCTGTTCTGTGGGTTGYTCATCTAGTCCAACACGAATGCTATTTCGACTTAGTCACCACAGCTTCCTACTGGGTGAAATAGGATGGTGTCACTGGAGGGGGTCCAAGAGGTCCTGGAGAGGGAGCCCTCCACTTGGGRTGACAGGGTCCTTGACAAATGTGGCAGAAAATTATTTTATTTCATTTTTATTTTATTTTTTGTACCAGGGATTGAACCCAGGAGTGCTTAACCACTGAGCCCCATCCCCAGCTCTATTTCTATTTTATTTAGAGACAGGGTCTCACTAAGTTGCTTAGGGCCTCACTAAGTTGCTAAGGCTGGCTTGAACTCACAGATCCTCCTGCCTCAGCCTCCCRCTGGGAGTACAGGTGTGTGCCACAGCATGTGGCTGGCAGAAAAGAATTTTAAGACATGTGAGATAGAAGGACAAGCAGAGACTTGCTCAGGAAAGGGAGAATGCAGGGAGTGAGAGGCATTGGGGGTCTTGAGCTCTTCTTTGAAAGGAAGCTGTGAGGTTTGGCCATGAGAAGGCCTGTGGGGTGACCTCAGTGTGGCGATCACTGTTTCCAGAACCTTCCTCATCATGTGATCAACAGACAACATTTGGAATGAACCGGGTAGTAGAGGTTTCCTAAAATATCATCTCTCCCTTTGTTTAATCTATTCCAAAAATACATGTGTTGATACATTGCTCAGGGAAGTTTTTATAACTGAGTGAATTTCTGGTAGCTTTAAGATTGTGAGTGAGGATTTGAAGATTTCCCAGAGATCCAGGAGCGACCCACTTGGGGACAGGCACGCGGATCTTCAGTGCCGGCGCCCAGGTTAAGGTCATATCCCCTTTTCCTTCCTTTGTCTCCTTTCTACCTGTCTTTTCTTTCCTTTTCTAGAAGTTTCTTGGCTACTCCTGGCCTGTACTCTTCTGGATAGGTATCTCTCTATACATACTTAGCTCTTCTTTAATATTTTTATGCATGGATCTAGCAAATCTTTTGCTGAAAGCATTCATCCCTTTCTGCTTTTTGGAAGTTAAACATTTTATTTTGAATGCTCGTAGGTTTRTTTGTAGTCGTACAAAATAATACAGAGCTCTCACGCACACTTTGCCCTGCTTCCCACCATGGTTAACATCTCGCGCAATTATTACAGTTCATAAACCAGGATGTGGACATYGATATGGTGAAGGTTCGAACACACCCGTCACCCCCAGGATCCCCCTGTTGTGTTGTCCAGCCAGCCCTGTGTCACTGCTGCCCCACCACTCTTAGTTCCTGGCAGCCACGGGTTATTTTCCATTTCTCTAATTGAGTCATCTCAAGAGTGTTCTGTACGTGGGTCGTAGAACAGCTGACCTCCTCTGGCCAGCAGTTTTCAGGCATTGCTGCTGTACCAATAGTGTGTTCCTCTTCATTGGTGGGTAGTATTTCATTTTGTGGATGCACCACAGTTAGTTTAACCATGAGCTGATTGAAGGACACCTGTGTTGTTTGTCTTGGGATATTTTGAATAAAGCTGCTATAAACATTCATGTATAGGCTTCTGCATGAACGTTGTCTTCCTTTCTCTGGGATGCACTTTTCTTTAAAAAATATTTTTATCAGTGCGTTATAGTTATACAGAGTAGTGGGGTTCATTTTGATGTGATCACAACTACAGGGAATATAATTTGCTCCATTTCAATCCCTGGTCCTGCCTCTTTCCYTTTCCTTCTCCCTCCTGCTGTTCCTCTTGTGCTATTCTCCTGGTCTTCTGTTGATGGTTTTTTCAGTCGGTGCTTTATAGACACACATAGCAGTGACATTTATTGTGGTATGTTCACATAGGTACATAGCTTAATTTGGTCAGTTTCAATCTGAACCTGTTTTCCACGATGGTGGTACCATTTCACACCCTCACCGAGTGGTTTCCACAGTCTTGCCAATGCTAGGTGTTGCAATGGCTAGTTGTACATGTCATCTKGACTGGCCATGAGGTTCCCCAATTAAACGTTCTTTCTGGGTCTGTCTGAGGGTGTTTCTGGATGAGATCATACATTGGAGTGGATGAATTCAGTCAAGATTGCAATTTGGGGGTGCATCATGGAGGGCTTGAGTTGAACCTGG